ATCATCTATAGCCTAAATAATCTAATGAATGACTTTAAAATATATGGTATCTAATAAGTTATGGAATTATTTAATCATAAAACTTTTTTGATTACATAAGCCATAATTTAGTCTGATAAACCATAAAATTTAACCGTCAGAACTCGTCCTTGTTAGCTCAGTTGGTAGAGCGTTCGGCTTTTACAGTCAAACTAGGGAAAAACCATTTCTTAGCGGAAGTTAACCGAAATGTCGGGGGTTCGAGCCCCCCATGAGGAGTTCTATTTTTTTGCCAATTTTTTTTACCAATTTTGGGTTAAAAGGACTGAAATTGATCATATATACACTCTATGTTAGTTACTTGTTGCTCTGTTGTTGATATTCCGGCAAAAAAAGTTATGTTTTGGGGTATCCTACATTTTTTTTTCATTTTTTTTTATATGTCATACCCCATTTAAATATATACAGAGAAAATAAATCATTATGAACAGAATCAAACAAAATGTTTAGCCTTCTTAGCTTTCTTTGCAAGACGGTTTTCAATTTTTTTCTAGGAAGTTTGTTGTTAGTAATAAAATCAAAAAATTTTAAATGAAAATTTATACGTACTTTACCTCTAAGTTCAGCAATTTTTTCATCAGCATGTAATAGAGCTTCTTTCATCTTTGCTTCCTTGAGTGGTCTTTCTCTTTCATATTTGGCACCCTTAGGTCTCAACACGCCCTTCATCAATGGTTTTGTATCATATTTCTCTTGGTAGAATTTCTTACCATTGGCTAATGGAGGTAAAGAATCTTGAATACCATGTCTGTATGCGATTTTCCATAGATCACTTTGTCTTCTCATGGAGTATTTGGCAGTGTGGTATCTTTTTGTGATTGGGTGTTTGTTGGCGATGAATGGGTTAGCATTTTCAGCTGTTGTTAATGTTGATTCAGATGCATATTCTTTGAATGGTCTTGGTGGGTAACGGGTGAAGAATCTTTGTAGTTTTTCTGGTAGAGTGTTGAAGTACGATATCTCTGTCTTCACAGCAGTGTTGAATAGGCCCAGGGACACTCTCATCTCGTCTGTTTTGTATGGCGATTGTGTAGATTTAATACTCGTCTTCGCATTCAAAAGCATTTTTTTTTTCAACAAAAAAAGTTCGAGATTTTTTTGGGCGGTGCAACACCACGCTGATTATGACTGATACTGAGTCGAAGTTTATAAAGATTGAAGTTTCTTAATATTCAGAGATCTTGTATTAGTCTAAGATAGAAAGTGATCCAACAATGTTACGTGCCACTAGATTAAGATCTTTCCAAAGATCATTCACCACCTCCAGATATTTACAAGCCAGTTTGGTAAGTTGTGATTGTGCTATCTCTTTTTAAGCTTTTATCTAACATAGTTCCAAATAGAAGAACCCAGATCCAGCTTCTGATAGTAAATCTGGTAAATTCATTCAAGAAAACTCAAAATATTCGGTCACAACTTATTCACGTCCAAATGTTGTCTTTGAAAAGGGTGAAAAGGCCTTTTTATGGGATGTTGAAGGTCGTAAATATGTTGATTTCACAGCTGGTATTGCAGTCACCGCTTTAAGACATTCTCATCCAGAAATCTCCAAAATCTTGTATGACCAATCAACCAAATTGATCCATAGTTCCAATTTGTATCACAACTTATGGACTAACAGATTATCCCGTGAATTAGTTGAAACTACAAGAGAAAGTGGTGGTATGCATGATGCTTCAAGAGTGTTTTTAGCAAATTCTGGTACTGAAGCCAATGAAGCTGCTTTAAAATTTGCAAGAAAATATGGTAAAACAATTGATGAATCTAAAACAGAGTTCATCACTTTTACAAATTCTTTCCATGGTCGTTCAATGGGTGCCTTATCAGTCACTCCAAATCCTAAATATCAATCACCTTTTGCTCCATTAATACCTGGTGTTCATGTTGCTGAACCAACTTTAGAATCTATTTCAAAATTAATCAATGATAAAACTGCTGGTGTTATTATTGAACCAATTCAAGGTGAAGGTGGTGTTCGTCCAGTTCCAACTGAATTCTTAATTGAATTGAAAAAATTAACCAAGAAACATAATGCTTTATTAATCTTTGATGAAATTCAATGTGGATTAGGAAGATCTGGTAGATTATGGGCTCATGGTAAATTACCAAAAGAAGCACACCCAGATATTGTCACAATGGCTAAAGCCTTAGGTAATGGGTTCCCAATTGGTGCCACTATGATTACTGAGAATGTGGAAAAAGCTTTAAAAGTTGGTGATCATGGTACTACTTATGGTGGTAATCCATTAGGTGCAAGAGTTGGTAGTTATGTTTTGAGCCAAGTCTCTGATAAGGAATTTTTACAAAACGTTTCCACAAAATCTGAACTTTTCAAAAAAGAATTGAATTCTTTAAAAGAAGAAGTTGATGAAATTGTTGAAGTTAGAGGTGAAGGTTTATTATTAGGTGTTCAATTCAAAAGTGATCCAAGTAAAATTGTTGACGCTGCAAGAGAACGTGGTTTATTAGTTATTACTGCTGGTGGTAACACTGTTAGATTCGTTCCTGCATTAAACATCGAAGAAGATGTTATAAAGGAAGGTTTGGCTATTTTCAAAGATGCTGTTAAAGCTGTTTTCCCATGAGATGCCATATATTTAATAGAATAAACCATATACAATAAGAATAAAAGAAATAGAGATATTATTATAATGAAGTAATTAATGACATATGCAGTGTAGGATATTTTCAAGTAATGATGAAATTTGAAAAGAATAAATCACTTGATTCAATTCTGCCTGTGAAGTAGAAGCCCATAATGACAATGATATAAATCAAGATCAAGATACTTCCCTTAAAATAGTTAGATTTCCCTTCAGCATAAATATATGTGAACAAAACAACTGAAATCAAAGAAGCAACAAGATCCCATCTTGGGAAAATCAAAGTGAACATTGATTCTTTAACATTAACCAACGAATCTTGATCAGAGATGAAGAAAATAGAATATAAAACCAATGATGGAATTTGAATCAAACAAACTTGTAAGGCATAAGCTGATCCAATCTCCATAGATAATGCAACATTACCATGTGTGGCAAATGAAATGGCATTTAAAAATTCAGTAGTATTTGGAACTAGTGCAAAAATTGTTATACCTAAAAATTTTGGATTGATTGGGAAATTTTTCAAAACTGAATCAACACAATCAACTAAAATTTCTGCAATGATTGCATACAACAATGTAGCACCCAATAAAACAAATGTAGATTTTTGTCTGGACCAGTTTGGTGCATCATGTCCATTTGATTCAATAACTTGAGATTGTTGGACCTCAGCAATATTTTCCACTGATGGTGACTGAATTGATTGCTGTTGTTGTTGCTGTTGTTTTGCTTGTTTTTCAGTAATTGGTGTTTGCCATATTAATGCTGCATGTGTTCTCAAAGTAAACCACAATCCAATTGTGTAAGCCAGAAATAATAACAATGCACAAGCAATTGAAAATGGTCTCAATACATCACGAAATAATGAATCAACTTTCAGTGGAGGTTGGAAAAAATGACATTTTTGACAAGTTTTAGTTGGTGGTAAGGATAATTGCATTGTGGAAGGGGGACATGGAATACATTTAATTTCATAAGATCCATAAATTTCATGGAAGATGGTTGGTGCAAACATTGCACTAATTGAAAACAACAACATTGTTGATGAAACACCTGCACTTGCTGGATTATATCTTTGAGTCTTTCTGATCAAAGCACCTGAACACATTGATAACCCTGGTAGTAATAAAACAGCACCCAAGATTGAACCAATCATTGAACCCTCCACCAATGAACCTTTATGTTGATTTAATGCAACACAATATAGGAAAATTTCCACAATGGTTGAAAAGAATGCATTAATAACAGCACCAACACCCATTGAAGATTGGGCACTGATAGAAGCAACAGCTTGACCAATGAAATAAGCTAATGGAATGATTGATAAAAGACATAATGCAAATATGACTGATTCATTTGTTATTAAAACATCAATACCCATGAAATCTTTCAAGACGAAAAAATCCAAAATTGTGAAAATAACAACAGCCATTAAATTAATGAAGAACACATTTGTACCCTCCACAGTATATTTATAATAATGGAAACCTGTTGATCTATAGGTACATAACAAAATGTTTGAATTTTTATAAAATTTGTCAGATGGTAAAGGTTTTGAAGAATCAAATTTGAAAAAAATTGCCAATGGATGTCTTCTCAAATGATCAGTCAATGTAGAAATAATCTTGGCCATTGGAATGGTGAATACAACTAGCCAACATAATGCCCAGATTAAGAGGAAAATTGGTTGTAAAACAAAATAGAAGTATAAATAAAACAAAATTCTTCCTAAACTCCAATCACCTCTTCCAAATAATCTTTTCTTCTTATTATCATTATCTTCATCAATATTTTCCTCTATGGAAGGTAGTGGCACCAAATTTCTTTGTTGAGATTGTTGGGACAGTTGTTGTTGAGGTTGAGGTCTTTGAGGTGGAACGTTACTATTATTATTATTAGGATTTGATGAAGTATTTCCAACAGTTGGTAAGTTAATATGGCTTGAAGTAAAGAACAACTTATTATGCTCCTCGTTTCTCCAACGTTCATATTCAACAAATGTAGAGCCTTCATTCAGATCTTCACTCAAGTAGTTTTCATCTTTTTTCAAATAAATAACTTTCCCAAATGGCCACAAGAGATAAATACCTAAATTGAAAAACACTTTTGCATAATTAACAGAACTATAACCAGTAATTACCAAGAAAACTGATCCAATAAGACATAAAATGAATAATAAAAGACCAAAAGTTAATGACCATATAATATTGGTAAAATGAACTTCCCAAGAAACTTTCTTTTTTTTCAAGTCATCAGTTTCATGGATATCTTGATCAGCTTCCCTTTGAACGGATCTATTTTTCTTGTATAAAGCTGGTTTCCAAATTCTAATACCAAAAGGATGTGTCGAATTAATTGCATCTTGACGGTTTCGTAATGTAAAATCTTCTTCCGAGGAAGTTGTTGAACGTACATCATCTTCATCTTCATCACCTTCTTCATTTTCTGCTTCTTCATCTTCACCATTGTTCTCTTCTTCATGTAAATCGTCTGTTCTTTCAGACTCTTGTTGTTCTTCATTACCAGTTGGTTGTGGCTGCTGCTGTTGTGGCGTTGGAGTGCGTTGAGGTTGATTAATTGATGGTTGATGTGATCTTTGAGGTTGTAAATAATCATCTTGTTGTTGATTTGGATCTTTGTGATCTTTAAATTCACCTTGCTCATGGTTATAATGGATAATATCAGCTTCTTTTTGTTCCAATTTCTTGATGTTTGATTCAGCATTAATCAAATTATTCATTACATCATGGGTTAAATTTTGAACTTCTTGGTTTCTTGAAGTTTCCTTAAGGTTTTTAGCTGATTTTCTATAGCGATGTCTAAGGGCATCATTATAACCTTCCAAATATTCTCTCTCTATATCTTGTTCGATTTCATCTAAATCATCATCAACACTATAAACATATTTTGGGGATGGGACTTGGAATGTGAAAGATGGGTTTTTTTGTATTTGTGGTTTCTTCTTGCGCTTTGGATTAGCCTTTAATGTATTATTTTGAGAAGATGAGTTTGAGCGGCTATCGAATTGAGAGGTATAAGCTAAAGGATTTGAAGATTGTTGTTGTTGTTGTTGTACATTCTGTTGACTAGATTTCGGTAAGAGTTGATGGGGTTGGGTTTTGTGCTGTTGGTTAGCTTGTGCCTGCTGTGACGATGGATCACCCTGAGCTGGCCTATCCTTGTCCTTCCCAGAGCTCATCTTTGAGAGTATTGTACTTGATCCTGCTTGTTGTTGTTGTTGTTGATGAAGGATCTGATTTCAAATTCCTTTACACATGTCTAATTACAACCGAGGCTGACTAAGAAAACAGTGATTATTATGTAACTAATACGATTACTAATACTTGATAATTATATTATATAATCAATATCACATAATCCGATTACATAACTTTTTTTTCCGCCTTGTCAAAAATCCCTTCGCCATTTTTTTCTCAGTTATTTTTAAAAATCGAGTTTGAGCAAAAGAGAAGAAAAGAAGGTAATTTCACGTATAAAGGACTAGAACAATCTCAAACAAGGGAACAATCCAAACGGTACTAAACCCACTTATTATAATTTGAAAGCACTGTCCATTCGTTACTTTGTGCACTCCGTTCCACCAGAAAAAGTATCTTGATCTGTCCAGAATATTTGATACCCATACGTTCCTGAACATTTACAACAACAACAACAAACAACAACACCAAATACAATACATCAAACAGGAATAATGAGATTCTCAATCTTTCACTTATTTACACTGCTTTCAATAGCACTAGCTGCTACCACTTATACATGTGAGTTATACTGAGCGTTTTTTGCACCCATTCAAAGCACCGTGTCAGAGTACTAACATGATTTCAATAGCTGTTGTTACTACAACAAATATCAATGGTGTCACTGTCACTTTAACAAACACTGTCACTAGTACAGGTACAGGTACCACAAATACTGCCACCACAAATACAGCTACTACCAACACAGCTACAACAAACACAGCTACAACTAACACTGCAACTACCAACACAGCTACAACAAACACAGCTACAACAGGTACTGGTACAGCTACTACAGGAACAGGTACAGGAACAGCTACAACAGGTACAACTACTGGAGGTGCCGCTGATGGTGAAGTTGAAGGAACTGATACTGCATCAACAGGTCGTACTACAACAAAATTATCTCAAGGTACAGATACTTCAAGTGTTAATCCAACATATACATATTCAGATGCTACAACTACTTATATCACTTCATCTGCTTGGACTTCAATTTGGGTCACTGTTACTTATTCAAATGGTGGTGTTGCCACAGTGCAAACAACTTATTCTCAAAGATTCAAGAGTTTTTATTCTTCAGTTAATCAACCATCCTCTGGTACTATTGGATTAGGTTCTATTAGTGGGAGTGTTGGTGTTGTGAAGAGTAAACATTTAGTTACTCAATCAACTAATGCTGGTATCATCAATACAATCTCATCTGGTTTGATCTTTGTTGTTGCTTTATTATTTTTATGATTTCAACAATAATATCATTATGGAGAGGTAGAGGATAAACTAGTTTTGTTTTTCGTTTATTTTTTATTTTTTAATTCAATTTAGTTTAACAGGGGGAAAGATTAGTGGACTTTATACAAAAAAATATGCACGCAATGTGGTCGTGTGATTTGTTCTTTTTTGGTTTCAATTTTTATATTTATCATCTTTTTTTTCAAATTATATATTGTACATTAGTTTTAATTTCAGCTTATTCAAAATATAAGTTATGATTTTAGTTTATTTTACAAGGATTGTAAATGTTTTACGAAAATAAGTGTTTTTTTCTTTCATTAACTTGAAAAATAGATCAAAAAAATAATCTCTAAACATACACATAAAAAAGAATCAATCATTGTTGTCTTTTTTTTGAACATCTGCCATCCTCTCCTTTTCTCTTCTTCTTTCATAAAGCTTAAATACTCATTAAAGGTTTTGAATTTTTGTTTTCAGAATCTTTATGACCAACAAATTCTATTTGTTCGGAATCAGGTAATCTCAAAACTTTTCTAAATTTCAAACCAATGCTGAATAATTTACTTTTATCAGTACTTTTAGTCCATAGAGCAACTCTGAAAGCGAATTTTCTAACATTTAAGACTGCACCATTAACTTCATTTTCATCATCTTCAATAGTTTCACCAATGACACTTAATAAAGTTCTTAACCATAATTCATTGATGTTTGTATCTTTTTTGTTTTTAAATTGGAAAGACCATTTACCACCTTCAGCATTTGCTGAATCTTCCCATTCTGGTCTAATACCATTTCTAAATAAATGATAATCAGCTTTTAATGGCAAATCTGAAGCTTGAGGAATAGAATTGAAGATCCCCCAGAATTCTTCGACACTTGAGAAGTTGATAACAGGTTTCAACAAATCAGCCCATGATTCCTTTGGATCACTTGGAGGTTTGGTGTACCATAAAGTCCATTCAGAGTTCAATGGATGTTTAACAGTAAACTCCTTATCAGACAAGATGGTTGTATCAGCGTTGGCAACAGCTGGGGCATCTAAGGACAATCCTTCAGTAGCTTTGTTCAATTCTTCAGACATCGCAATTCAAATAACCAAAGCACAGCAACAAGAAAGATGATTTGTGTTTTGTATGGCGTTGTTATTTTGACTTTTCATCTTTTTTTCGTCAACGGATTCAAAAATTTTTACAAAAACAAAAAAAAAACAAGTGGTGTTGGGATGTCGCGAAAAGCGTATAGCGAAGAGATTTTGAATATGCCATAGAATCCATACAATTTTAACACCATCACAGGCCAATTTCAAAGAGAGAAAAAGAGAATGTCCAGCCTGCTCAAGATGTTCCTGGCCACGACTGCTTCCGTAACGACGGCCTCTCTGCTGCTGCTGTACAAGTACCAGCTCAAACTGATCTATCCCTCAGGCTTAAACGATGCAAGAGCCCCTGGTGCCTTCCATTCAACTCCACAGGAATACGAAATACCCTATGAGGATCTATATCTAGAGACTGAGGACGGTGTCAAGCTACATGCCTTTCTGTGCTTACAGGACCCTAAAAGCCCTGATTATCAAAACAAAACAGTGTTGATACTGAATCCAAATGCTGGTAATATTGGATTAGCTGTGCCAACGGTTTATAATTTTTATCAATTGGGGTTTAATGTCTTTATTTATGACTATAGAGGCTACGGCTTGTCGACTGGTGAATCTACCGAGATTGGATTGAAGAAAGATACTGAAACTGTGATGGAGTATATCAATGAACATGATCAATTGAATAAAAGTTTAGTTATACTATATGGAAGATCTTTAGGTGGTGCTGTGGCTATTCATATCGCTTCAAAGAACTATGAATTAGTTAAAGGTGTAATATTGGAAAATACTTTTCTAAGTTTGAGGAAAAACATTCCTCATGTTTTCCCCTTTTTGAAATATGTTGCAACATTGTGTCATCAATTGTGGGATTCTGAAACTGCCATTTCGAAAATTGATCCAAATGTTAAAATGTTGTTCCTTGGTGCTGAATTAGATGAGATTGTATCCCCTGATCATATGAAGAAACTTTATGAATTAGCTAATGTTGGTGATCGTTACGAAAAATTTGTACTTTTTCAAGGATTTCATCATAATGATACTACACTGGCTCCAGGTTATTGGGATATCATTAGTGATTTCATTGATTTAATAGATTCTAAAGAGAATTAAAACAAACATCCTGCAGGACACACATCCATTTGTTCATCAATTATCCATGTTTTGAAACATCCAAAATGTCCACTATGTCCACATTTCAATCTGAAAATTGTTAATCCTTTGATAGGTTCATTGCAATAAGTACATAGATTTTTATCATGACAATTTTCACAAAACCATGTACCAAATTCAATTTTTGGATCTTTAAGAACAGCTTCTTTCAAGTTTTCATTTACTATCAGTACTCCACATTTTGAACAAAACCTTCTGAGAATTGTAGAATTTAATGACATTTCTTTAAATTCATTATATTTAGAAATTGAGATAATCTTGGTAAAAGTTATGAAAAATTGTAATTTTTTCAAAAATTCTAAATATGAATGAATCATATCTTTAACAATCTTATCACCATATAATTTATAACGATCATTAAACAACAATAATAAAGTACAACTCATTATCAAATCTCCTTGTTGTAAACTGAAGTCAATAGCTTTCTTTATGAGAAACTTTGGTGCATAAGGTGGTAAAATTAACTTATTATCCGCTTCTTTTTCTTGTTTTTGATTTGTTAATTGTCTTGTTAGTTCTGATTTATGACTATCTTGCTTTGTCAACTTGTTAAAATTGGATTTGTGTAATAATGGTGCCAATGATTGTGTTAGTGGTCTCAAAGAATTTGATGCATTTGAAAAAGATGATGTAATTGAATATGATGGTGATGATGATTTCCCAATCTTGTTTGACTCATCAGAATTGGGTGGTAAAATAGCCTCCAGAATTGAACTTCTAGGTTTACGTTTCCCTGGTAAAGATATTGGCTTTGACGTGGCCTTGGATTCCACAAATTCAATAGCTTCCTCCTCTTCTCCTTGTTGTTCCTCTTCATCATCTTCTTCCTTTGTCACTGTATCATCTTTTTCTGTAACTTGTTTCACCGGTAAATCGTCCCATTTCAAAATATCCTCTTTTGTAACTGTCTTATTTTTATCAACTTCCTCTTGATCATCAGATACTTCTTCACCCTTTTCTTGAATCTCATCAAAACTTTTACGAGCTTTGGTGATTTTCAAATCCTCCTTCGATCTTAATGACATCTCTTTAGAATTCAATGAATTAAATTCACTTAAATCACTCAAGGCAGGTGATTTACCATAGTTTGTTGTAGAGTTTGAAGTACTATAATGATAATCTTTTTCATTATCAGTTTCATAGTCATGGCCAGCAGTGGTATTGATTTCAACTTCCGTGGTACCATCTAGTTCATATTTCAATTCATTCTCTAACTGTGTTTCCCATATAAGTGATTCTTTGATAACTTTCCAAGTTTGTGAATCTCTAAGACAATCAACATCATTAGCCACACTTGCATTTATTTCACAACTCATTATCAAATCATGTGATGGATCAAACATATAATTATCAGATAAATATTTCAATGATGCATTACTTTTGGAAATGGGCAATGAAATTGGAACAACAAATGGATTTGAATAATTTGAAACATTGTTATGATGGCTCCCATGGGATAATGCACGATTAACGCTAGGTCTCAGTGCTGTACTTGAACTTCTTGAAATACCTGGTCTTGGTGATAAATCTGGGAATGAGGAGACTGATGGTGTATTCACAGCTGTAGTTCCAGCAGAATTCCCCGGTGAGTTATTTGGGGACGTGGACATCATTGAAGAAATAGGATTGAACCCACTATATTGATTATTTGACTCTAATATTGGTTCTAATTCTTTAGGTTCTCTCTCTTGATTAATGAAAACCAAGTCATCATTAACTGACCACGACGTTGCATTTATAGGTAAGTTGTCTATTGGGTGGTAGTATGCATTCAAATCATCTCTGACTAAAGATTTATCCTTAGAACATGTTAACAATGTCCTTTCATCTTTGAAAACAAGACCACTTATCTGAGCATGATGGCTCTCAATAGTGTATTCTGGTATGTACTTTCTTTTTAAGGAATAAATTTGAACACTCAAATCATTTGTTAAGAAACTTGTAGCAACTTCAGCATTCATAATGTTGGAAACCCCATTTGAATTTGGTCTAAAACAAACATTATTCACAGGAGCAGCTGTATAGATCACATGTTCTGGTAATTGTCTTGCATCATTATTATTCATATTCCATACTTGAACTTGTTTATCTCTCCCACCACTAACAATATAATCCAACTCAGGATGCCAATCTATCGAGAGACCAGGTCCCGTATGTGCATTAAACTTTCTTTCAAATTGGGTCGGTACCCTAAGATCCCATTTTTGTATGACACCTGAATCGAAGATTGCACACATTTTTTTATTATGGAAAGGTGAAAATTTCAGTGATCTAACAGCATCTGAATTACCAATCATCGTGAATACTGGTTTTGTTAAATTTGATCTTAAATCCCATAATTTCATAGCACCATCTTGCGAACCGGATAATAAAGAGTGTGAATCCAATTGACTAAATGATATAGAATTGACCGCTCTGGTGTGGTCACTATACTTGAGTACTAGCTTGTTTTTAGACTGGGAGGTGTTGTTGAAGATGAAGATGGACCCAGTTGTTGTTGAAGTTGCGATGAATTTACTATGGTTATGGTAACCAGCCTCCACATCCAATATAGAACCTATAACTTTCTTATTCTTCAAGTAATATGAGCTTGACAGAAGGTCATTGACTGGCGTTATTGTGGAGTTTTCAATCTTGAGTATTTGTAACAGATTCTTCCCAGCTATCACCACAGAATCAGATGAATCATTATTTATTCTGCTTAAACTTGTCAATTCTTGAGTTGTCTTGAACCGCGTTTGATTAATGTCCTCATAGTTGGAAGTTGATTCATTGTAAGGAGTGAATACCGGTGGTGATTGTCTTGATGGTGTATACGGTGTGGGTACTCGACTTGGTGATATTGATGATGTTGTTGTTGAGCCAGAGTTCCCATAGAAATTGACTAGTCTAGCCAACGTGTTTGAATGCCTCGACGAGGAACCAAACTGACTACCCTCACTGGTGCCATATCTATTATCATAGGAAGACATTATAAGCGGGTTCTTGGATCCATAGACAGAGGCCAGCTGATGGGTATTAAATCGTTTATCAGAGAAATACCGATTTTTTAGCTATGGGTATTACATAATCAATATAGCGAAATTCACCTTCTATTACAAGTTCTATATAAGCACAACGTCTCCGGAGTGAACGTATTTCTGCACTGCAGAGTATCTGATCAAGTAGATATTCCCTACTGTTAATTCAATTTCTTCTTCCCCAATGACAATACCCTCAGGAATGTCTCGCATAACCTTGACAAATGCCGGTCTCTTCAAATTTGGTTCCTCAATCATGGAAATACCACCACTGGTGTCATCTAATGCTTGTAAATGCTGTGGTAAAGATGATAAAAATAATGAATTGTAAAGTTGGAGTAATGCCTCAAAGTGTTTCTCCATGTATGCTGTTTCTTGTTCCGATAATCTCGAAACCATTTCTTCGTCATTTCTGATGAAGATGGTATATTTGTCAATCTGGAATTAATGTTAATATCCACACTCAAATCACTGAAATTACCAATACTTACTTTCGATAACCTTGTCCGTAGATATGATCTCAATATAAAGTTCACACGATCTAGTTCAGACTCTATAATCATCAACTGCAGCTTGATATCCTTCTCTTGGGTCTGCAACTCTATGGAATTCAGCTCAATAAACTCCACTTGTTCTCTTATCCTCGAAAGCATTCTCTCAATCAATGCATCTTTGTACTCCAGGAGTTCTGGAGCCATACGTTCAGATATCCAAGACTGTGTGAGTTCCTGAAGGTCATCTTCTTTCAATTTTGTTTGACTAGCCTCGTTTGGACGGGAGTCTCTCTCGAAGTCTCTCAAGATGTCATCAAAGTCAATCTCCATGGCTTCACTGGCTTCGTTACAACTGTTTCAACTAGTTTCTTAGTCTTTTCACAGCATTAAAGAGCATTCATGAGTTTGTCAACGCGAAATCGCGTTTCTTTCTTTCCAAAATCGTGCACTGCTCAAAATCACTTTTGAAAGAAACATAAACAAAAAAATTGTGAGAGATCGAATACAATCTGTTTGGGTAAAAGACAAGAACCATGTCCAGCAGAAGAGAAGAGATACAGGCGAAGAGACAGCGGCTTGAGGCGCTACGGAGGCAGAGAGAGGAGAAGGAACGAGCTACACAACAGCAATTGGGCGGTGGGCAAGTGAGTAGCCATGGATCACTCTCTCAAGACAGCAGAGACTAACTCTAAACTTTAGTTGAATGGTCAAGCAAGTGGTGCTAAATCTAACATAGACAAGTTGGTTGATAACTTGGTTGGTGAAAAGACCCCCATACCGTCTTCAAGAAGCTCTGAAATAAGTGTGCCTCCAAAACCTCAAAAGATATCAGCTGTGTACAAGTCAATATCGATCCAAACAAGTCAAGATGTTGTTAAAGAGAAAGTTGAAAAAATCACTTATAACAAGAGTACACAAACTGTCGAAGAGCTGGAAGATTACGAGGATAATCAAGAGGAAGAGGAACTTACGTCTGAGGTTACAACTGCTGAATCCGAACTCAATAAGGATGATGGTGAAGCCCAACAAGAAGTCACTGAAGAAGTTGTTGATCCAATTGCCCAAATGGATGATACATTGCTTGCTGGTTTTTTCAACAAGTCACTTAAAATCATAAATAGAGTCATCAAAGAAGATGAAGATATATTAAAGACTTATACAAATGTTAAAAAGGATACTGAAATTGAATCTACAGATTTCTCAGAGCTGGTATCATTGAAACTTGAGCATGCAATTTATTCAATTGATACTTCCCTTTTCTTTCCAGAGCTTTTATTGGTTTCCATTGGTAAAAAAATCCTCATTTATAATTCAATATTCAAAAAATTAGAACACCAAATAACAACATCCACAAATATTCTTAATGTCCAATTTTCAAAGTTTCAATCCAATATCATTTTTGCAACTGGCTATAATGGTAAAGTTTTCAGTTGGAACTTGGAATTGGAATCAAATATACCGTATTTGGTTTCATCGGCCAATACAATGAACCATTCATATCCTGTCTTTGCATTAAACCAAATTAGTGAAAATAATGGAACTTTAATCACTGCATCTACTGATGGGAAAATATGTACATGGAGTACATCAATGTTATCAAAACCAATATCACCACCAATAGAATTGAAAACACCTAAATCTCTAAGCCTAAGATTTGATGAATTGGCACCAACTTCAGTGATGAACTTACCAAATGATCATGGTTTTGTTATAATTGGCTGTGAAGATGGTAATATTTATAGAGTTAAAAGATTTGACAATAAAATAAGTGGGAATCCAGATAATCTTTTTGATAAAATTTATCAAAAACATAAAGGCCCAATATCATCACTTGATAATTCCATTGATTTTCCAAATCTATTCATATCAAGTTCATTTGACTGGACAGTTTCATTATGGGATTTGAATTCCCCTGATGCTCCCCTAGTGGATATCTATAGAAACAATGCTATTTTGCAAGCCAGTTGGAGACCATCACATGGTACACAGATTGGGTTCATCCATGGCCATGTATTTGAATTATTGGATTTAAGTATTGATTCAGTTATTCCTATTTTGAAAATTACAACGGGAATGACATTGAATAAGTTCAAGTTTGATAAAAATGGATCTACCATTACTTTGGGGTCAATTCATGGTGAGATCAAAGTTTTTGAAATTTTGTTAAAAGGAATAGAATCAGAAATCGGAAGATTCAAAAGGTTGTACGTCAAGTCATAGCATTCATCTACAAATAATCAATTTTTTTGAAATGCTATCAAGGATCCATATATTGCTCTTCGCACAGCCGATACATGCTTATTTCAGATCATTCATGGTTGACTTTTGGACCGTCTTCTTGTGATTCTTGTTCTCAAAGGCTCCATGGGAGCTGATGGTACATGATTCGAAATGTTTTCAAAGGCGTGAGAACGAGTGTTTTGGGAAGGTAAATTAGGTGATGATAGCTCTTTAACTGGATCTGCTTGAGTTTGCTTTGAACTGGTACATGGTCTTTTTTGAGATGATGGTGATGGTGATAAACTCAAACTGTTGCTTGGTATTGGTGTATCTTCTCTTTCAATGGTTCTTTTCGTGGCTGATTGTGTTTTAGGGGTTAACCGTCCTCTTGTAGCACTTACTGGTGATGTAATTGAAGTTGTTGGTGGGTTTGTACTGACTGGGGGTGGTAAAAGCTTCACATTCAATAGGTGAGTTGTCTTTTCTGCAACTGTACCTGTTTCAACACTTTGGGTACTCTTATTATCTTTAATTTTACTCGAATCAGGGTTAATGAATTTGGCTTTTCCATTTCTTCGAGGCAATTGAAATGCATCAACACTTATACCATTGGAACCTGAATGAATCTCCATAGGAGGATGGATTTCAACAACTTTAGATTTTTTGGGATCCAAATAAATATCAATTTCTCCATTGCAACATCTAAATCTAGGATTTTTTCTACATTGAAACTTGTACAATTTTGACTCTGAGCATTTGGGATTAGCCTCTGCATCAAAATCAGCTGCAACCAATTTGAAAGCTCTTCTTTCTTCATCTAGAGCAGGTCTACCTTGTTGTCCCACATTAAAAACATTTTTAGCTCTATCATAATGAGTGCATTGTAATTGTCTATGACCAGAACGACACTTCCAACAACAGAATCTAAGAACTCCCAAGTATAGCATTTCAAGGCAAGCAATGTTTTATAGTTAAATTTGGCCCAAATCGAACACCTCAGTTGGGTGGAAACGAGTGAGTTGTTTTAATTTGTTCCAAAATTCAACATGGTTTTGTGTAACCTGTCACAGTAAAGATTTAGCAAAATCACCTAGGCAATACACAATAACAATAATACAGCTTTAACAACAGCAATAATTATCTTACCAGTATCAGCTTCAACCAAAGTGAAAGATTGATGCACTGGTTTAACTTAGTACAGGCCAGAGTAGATACATCAATATAGCTTTCAAAAACAAACCAAACTATAGTGCTCTAAGCCGGCTATTGATTTTCCATTCTCCAATCATCAAGTGTGTCCAGATATATCATGAGATAGTTAATGCAGATGACTTGGTCAAAAGAAAACGAAAATATCAACTAAATCCTACACTCTTGTGAACGCATTTGAGAAGTTCTTTCTTGAGAATTCAATGTCAGCCGAGCCGAAGACTTCGCGAACTCTTGATCGAGTACGCCACAGTGATGACACAATGAGTCCACCTATTGTATTCTGACAAACTTGTATCGAACCACTAACCATGCTTAAAAGACCTATAAATTGGAGTAGAAAGTACCTATTGTTTCTAGATCTAAATTCCACAACCAAAGATTAATCAACATGACCACTTCAGACGTCACTGACAAGTTTTCCGAGTTGAAGGTTTCCTCTGGGGAATCACCATCAAGTATTCCAACTCTAGATTTAAACAAAGCTACAAATCCAGAAACAAAATCAGAATTTCTAGATGAGCTTAGAAACGCTTTATTCAATTTTGGGTTCTTTTATATTAAAAATCCACCTTTTGATGTGGAAAAATTCAAAAATATTAAGGAAGAATCACTCAAGTTTTTCGAAATTCCACTTGAAGAGAAGAAAAAAGTTGCCATGGTCAATTCAAAACATTTCTTAGGTTATAATGGACTTGGTGATGAAATAACAGCAGCTAATGTTGACTGGAGAGAACAAGTGGAATTTGCTACAGAGCTACCGGAACCTGATATCAAGAATGATGATGAGCTTTACAAAAATATTGAAGGACCAAATCTCTGGCCAAATGGTGATTTTTTGCCTGAGTTTAAGCATATAGTCACTGATTACATAGATGAGCTTTCTAAATTGTCAAGACAATTCACCCATTGGATTGAGGATGCTTTAGGATTAGAATATGGTGCCTTGGAAGCCTTTTTTAAAGAAGTTCAACAAGCGAAATTGAAAATAATCAAGTATCCTGATTTGGCTAATCTCAATGAACAAGTTGAGGCTGTTGAAAAAGAATTTGCAAATACCCAATACAAGACTAAATTGAATCAAGGGGTTGGTGAACATCGTGATAATGATTTCCTTACATTTATTTATCAAGCTAGTCACCATACATCTTTACAAGTTAAAGATTTTAATGGGGAATGGATCAATGTACCACCTGTCGAAAATACTCTAGTGTTTGCTGTTGGGTTGACTTTAGAATTTATTACTCAAGGTGTTTGTGTTTCCACAGTACATCGAGTTTTAACACCAACTCCTGGAGAAGGAGATAGATTATCCATTTCATTCTTTCAAACTATAAATATTGAATCTAAGAAAACTTCAATTGAGGTTGATCAAAAAGCAAAGGATCTTGTTAAACTGAGAGACGCCAAAAGAACAAAGAACAAAATCGGATTTCAGTTCCAAGTTGATGAAACAAAACCTGTTGGGTATAGTGTCTTCTTGAACAGGGTCAAATCACATCCTAAAGTTGGTGAAAGACACTACCCAAAGGTTTTGAAGTATATACAAGAAGAAGTTGCAAAGGCTTCAGACATTTAAGTGTACAAAATACTGAGTCTGATAAAGCTTGAAGATATACACCGATTATATCCGTAACCTTATTTTTCGACCAAAAAGCTTCACTTTTCAGTACGACACAAGCAAAATCCAAAATAAGTATTAAAAGAGATTAAGCTAAAAGCAATAACATCAAAATAATGGTTATATTACCTTGGAAGCTTGATAAAGGTCTTAACGTTAAGGCCCTTTTTAGGCTACAATTTACCCGCATATTGGCTTTAGGATTATATAATCACTTACTCAGCTTTTTTTTTGGCCTGACGCGTTTTGTCATCCGAATTTGAATTTCGTGTATAGAAAAACACTGAAAAGTTATAGATCGATCATTGTTCAATAAAGAGGTGATAATATAGTCGGATCACACTATTTGCAAGAGATGGAGGTGCCGACGCAACCAACTCAACCTACACAGGCCACCCAAGCCGCCTTGGAACACCTCACTCAAGAAGATATTGAAGATGGAACTATTTGCAGGTTGATTTGCACCACTGGTCAACTCTCAAATGTTGATCTCAAAGAAAAGAAGAATGGTGTTAAAGAGTGGTTCTTTGGAAGAAACGTCGCTTGTGATATTGCCTACAACAATACTACAAGATTAAGTAATAAGCATTTTAAAATCTGGAGTGGTGATTCCAATGTTTTGATTCAAGATTTATCAACTAATGGTACTTGGGTCAACAATCAAAGATTGGTAAAGGGACAAAATTATATATTGAGTCAAGGTGATGAAGTATCGGTAGGGATTGGTGTTCCTAAAGATGTTGTGAGGTTTATTGTTTTTTTCCCCAAAGTTCAAAAGTCCTCAACTTCAAGCACCAGAATTGAAGAAGGTATTAATAAAGAATTCTCAATCAAAGACGAAGTTATAGGGCAAGGTGCATTTGCAATTGTTAAGAAAGCAGTGGAAAGATCAACTGGGAAAACGTATGCTGTCAAAATAATATCGAAAAGAAAGATTATGGGAAATACAGATGGTGTCAGTAGGGAGTTAGAAATTTTAAGAAGATTAGATCATCCAGGTATTGTGAGACTACGAGGATTTTATGAAGATGACGATAGTTATTACCTTGTTATGGAATTTGTTCCTGGTGGTGATTTAATGGATTTTGTCGCAGCACATGGTGCTGTTGGTGAGGAAGCTGCTAAAGAAATTTGTAAGCAAATCTTACAAGCTATTCAATATGTCCATTCTTTGGAAATTTCCCATAGAGATCTGAAACCAGACAATATTTTGATTGCACAAGATGATCCAGTCTTGGTGAAGATTACAGATTTTGGATTGGCTAAAATATCGGATACTGGTACTTTTATGAAAACATTTTGTGGTACTCTAGCATACGTTGCACCAGAAGTTATTGATGGAAGATTGTCTAAAATCACTGATAGCAACAAATACTCATCCTTAGTTGATATGTGGTCATTGGGATGCCTTGTTTATGTTATTTTAACTGCACATTTACCATTCAGTGGAAGTACCCAAGATCAACTTTACAAACAAATTCAACAAGGTTCATACCATGAACCACCTTTAAAAGAAGCTGGTGTTTCCAAAGAGGCTAGAAGCTTTCTAGATTCTTTATTACAAGTTGATCCTAGGTTCAGATTGACCGCTTCTGCTGCTTTATCTCATCCTTGGATTGCAAGTTTTTCTCAAAGCAATTCTCAAATCTCTCTATCACAATCTCAATCACAACAGCAAAGACTTGAAGCCGAAAAATTACATTTTGATGAGTTTGAAAATAAAGAACGAATGGAAAAAATATTAGAGGATCATGTTTTCAAAGTTCCAGCACCACCTAATCCGAATAAAAAGAAGGTTCCACAAAAGGATGATCAAGCATCACAAGCATCACAACAGAAAACAACTCAAATTGCAGAAAGATCACCTTCGGAAGATCAATCATTCGATAGAACATCACTAATAGAAAATGAAACATCAGTTGTCAAGTCTGAAGATGGGGGAGCACCAAGACCAGAAACCGAAGTCACTACACAATGTCCAGCTGGTACATCTTTCACATTAACACCATCAACTAAAAGCATTGAAAGTAACCCAATTTTTATTCCACAAGGTGTTAGCCCATTTGTTATTGGTAGAAATGCTGCATGTCATCAAACAATTGCAGAGGATAGATTATCCAAAATTCACTGTGCATTTACAAAGAAAAGACATCCTGTTGGTACAAGTCTTTATGAAAGTCCAGCTCAAGGTTTGGAAGATATTTGGTTGATTGATTTCAGTACCAATGCATGTTATATAAATGGTACTAAAATTGGACGTGGCAAGAAAGTTTTGGTGTTCAATAATGATGAAATTATGTTATTTAATGATAATAATAAGAAGGAAACACTTTCATTTAAAGTTAGCATAGTTGATGGGACCGGGTTGTTTAATAATGGAGA